TAACAAAACAGAAAAAAAGATCTTTCTTTATGGTTTTCATGTGCCATCACTCTCTAGAGGAGAACTTTTATGAAAATGTTACTTTAGTGATAAAATGTGTTCTGTTATCTGAGTGCAAATGGTTTAATTTTGGAATTATTCAATAGTTGTTTGATGAGGTTTAGATCTGCATCAAAGCTCCCAAAGGCAAGGAAGGTGCATCAGGATCCTGAAACAAATGGGAATAGCAGTGAGGTTCCAAAGAAGAATGGAGTTGGCCATGGTTCCACAGGAGTGCAGGAGCTGTGGCAATGCTCAAGGCGACACAAAAATGCCCTTCCTTCCTTTGCCTGTCCCAAGTGAACCCAAGCTTACAGAGCTTCTCGTTTCTGCCTGATCCTCTATAAAGCCCGTAAGTCCTGCAAGGACTCAGCCTGGAATTTAAGCTCCATACGGGCTCACTTCACATTTTTAAGCCCTGCAGAAAATCTAGCTTATTTTCAAAATTGCTGAAATCAGAGACTATGAAACAGAGCCAAACACCGTTCCTTCTTCCTCCATATACCTGATAAACACAAATCTAGGTTAACGTATCACATATGTTGAGAGCCTGAACTCCACAAGGACTCTTAATGAGAACACAGTAAAGCATTCTAGCTTGGCCATTTTAAAGAGTCCATAGACTTGGCCTCAGTAAAATTACTAAAATATAAGGTCATCTCAAAAACCACGGGTGACCAGCCAAGGTGGAAAGATTTCAGTAAGTTTGCAAGTCCTGCTTTGAAGAAATAATAGCACAATTCTTTTAAGCTGGTGAAATTCAGGTTGAAAAGATATTTCTTGTTTGGCATGAATCAGCATAACCACTTTGAAATAAATGGTGCTATCATTTGCAGTAACGGAGAAAGACTATTGTATTTCTAGTTTTTTCTGCTAAGTAAGATTAGTATTCCCTTTCTCAGCCTCAATTCCCTTCCTTACCTGAACACGTACATTCTGACTTTTTAGATACTTACGCCAGTGCTAAGTACGAAACATATCTCCATCTATGTCAACTGTTTACAAGTCAGTTTAAGTGTTTTTAAGTTTTAAAAACATTTTAGAAAGCATTTTCACTAGTGTTTATGTTTTCAGAAAACAGGAACCTATAGTACACTATGGGTTATCAATATATCAGTCCAATGCAAGTGGATATGCATAGATTTGGGAATTTAAAAAAAATGAAGACATTTATAATCTCTTTTTGATATAGCCAAATAGATTTGAAAGGCTCCCATAGCTTTGTTCACTGGTTTGTTTAAATGAGGAATAAGCAACCCTTTATATACTTTAGATCGATCCTTACCCTCTAGTTTACCTATGTATTTAGAGCTAGTAAGTTATCTCATTTTACAAGGAAAAGTGCAAAGAGCACATTATCTTACCTCAACCCTGTATGTGCAACTTTGTTTTATGGAGGGGGGTTAGGATTCTGCAAATAAAAACAACCAGATTCCATGCCACTAAACCCAGATGTTATCATCCAATAACCCCTCTACTTACTGTACTTTCATGCTGGACATATCCTATGTCTTCAATAGCTCGGATGTTGATAATGTGAATCCCCTTCTCCTCAGCAGGTAGAGATGAATATTTCTCATTCACCCTCATTTCTGTTTCATTTGGAGCCTCTCCGAGATTTTCTGGCAGAAATTCCACCCCATGAAATGCACTGTCAGTGTCTAAAAGAAAAGCAAACAGGTCGGTCTTTATTTCAAGCCCTTGTCCTCCCAGCACTAGTCAAGCTAAAACATGTCCTGTTCCTACTTTTTTTCTGTCCCTACACCTTCATTCCTTATTCCCACCCCTTATTTTCTTAGCTTTGCCTCCTGCTATCCTGTCTATGCCCACAGTTCTTGTAAGATCAGCCCAGTTCTCTTCTGGATATTTGCTTAGTTCAAGTATTTATTTATTTAATTTTACAGTGCTTATAAAGTCTCACGAACTATTTACTAATTGTCTCTCCTCTCCCCCATAGGGACCTCGATACGTTTCTTAAAGAACCTTATTCTGAACATTAGCAGCTGAGAACATGTCTCATGTCATTTTCTCATTGTATAGTAGGATTTTTTTTTTCATTGTCTCTGACTCCATGGTGTTACCTCAAGGAAAACTGAATACATCTAGTTTCCCTTTGAATTTTCATGTGTAGAGGAAGAATCTGCTTCTCACTAAAATAAAACTGTCTTTTGGAAAGAAGACTTTTTCCTTCATGAAAACAACTTTCAGGTTTTGTAGTTACTTTTCTATATAATTTACAAAACTGTAAGTTTGCTATTCTAAATATTTTCATGTAACAGTTTCAACTACAGTCGTTCTACTCTGAGCAAACAGATAACTAACACGTAGCAAAATGTAAACCACATACATTATGCATATTTATACAATACCTTCTAGGTATACCTTTGTAAAATTTCACTCATTTGAGGGCAATGAAGCCAAAACCTGCAGAAGTACACTTTTTCACTGGTCCGTGTTTAGTTGGGAGTTTGTTTCAGGAAAGGCTAAGAATTAAGCAAGGCTTTCAGGGTTTGGCTTTGAATAGCTAATTAAAATACACAGAAAAACATGTGCAAGAGGCTGCTGGTCCAATTACCTTATATATTCCTTCTCTCTACATCCATCAGATGATTAAGAGAAGTCAAACAAACAGCATATAACACCTGGTCAGCTGAACAAAGCTATACTATGGGGAGAAAACTCCCTTTGCAGGTGCAGCTGCTGATCAGCTAAACAGCAAAAAATGGAGACTGATAACTTCTCACATTTTATCTCAGTACTTTTTAAACTAATAGCAAAGTTATTCCTATCTCTTTAAGATCCCTTCTGGCTCTTGCTGAACTACAAGGATATAATGGGATGGGGAAAGGAGGAAAGCTCATTGCAAATACAGTTCCATAACATTTTTACACTTTATTTTTCTATTTTTTCTCCTCCTGAATTTATTCAAACTGTGAGCTGCATCTTCAGTTAGGTGTAAATCAAGCATTTAGGAACACAGATATCTGTCTCAACAATTTATTTCATGAGTGGAAACTGGGACTAGAGAAAGGGAGCTTGGTACTTCATTGGGCTGATGATGTACCCTGCTATATCTTTAATATAAATTATACAGAAAAGGGATTGTTTTAGATTTTTGAGTATATGAGTACTGTCCCAATAAAATTTCATAGCAGCAAATTCCACAGTGGAATGAAAGGCTGAATAACAACTGTATATATCTTTTTAGCTAGTTTCAACATAATGGCCTTTCATTTGTCACAGATGACATCTATATCTGTTAATAGATGTCATCACAGAAACTTACATCCTGTGACTGAGACTAAAATATAAATATGAGGCCTGATGGAAGGCTTTTTGTGGTCAATAGAAAAAATTCTATTGACTTCAGTGGGCTGTGAATCAGACCCTTAGTTTTTTCAAGGAGACTAAAATATGAATGATGAGCACCTCTGATTTAAAAAATTTAAATCTGAAATTATTATTTTTTAATTTTGTTTAAATAAAAGGCCGGACCCTGATGTCTGTATTTAGGCAAAAATAAAGCTATTGGGGAATTTTCCTGGAATCAGAGGGATCTTTCCTGAATTGGGAAATATAGGTTGTGTTAAAGTTTAATTTTTTTTTTAATAGCAAAGCTGTATTTGCAAGTGAAAGTGGGAACTCTTTGAAACTTCTATTTAAATTCAAGCTTTTCTCTTCTACAGATTACACTGCAAATACTCTTAGACAGCTCCAAGAAAGGTTAAAAAAATAGCAACTTTAAAATAAAAAATGGAAAAGAATATTTATTAAGAATAACATTAAAAAACTGCAAATGCTTGAAAAACTGAGATATGGTTACATAGCACATCTTGATTATGTTTTTCTGTGCTTTCAAATTCTTAATTTAACTTACAATGGTATGGCTTCTTAGTGCCTGGGCTACTATAATTTTAAAGATCTAATGCATATTTTTTTCCTCTGATACTGTCAATTATTTAATTCTTGTTTAACAAAAATCTAGTCTTGGATTTTTCTTGGTGATCAAGGAAAAATCTCTATTACCTGATTTATGTAGAATTAATTTCACATAAGTGTAGTATGTAATTTCATCATGGCCTATATTGTAGCTATTCTACATGCTAGAACCACACCAAAATTTCTTCAAATCCATCATCTGACCCCAGCAGTCTTTCCTGCCCAAGTGCAGGGGGACTGGACCCAATGATCTTGTAAGGTCCCTTCTAGCCCCTAAAAACTATGAATCCCTATGGATTTCATAGATTTCATAGACATTAGGGCTGGAAGGGACCTCGGAAGATCATTGAGTCCAGCCCCCTGCCCAAAGGGCAGGAAGTCAGCTGGGGT